CATTTATTAAAAAGGCACGTAGCTTTAAGACAATAACAACAGGGGAGTTTATATATGACCACGACAAAATGATTTTTATTTAAATAAGAGAGACTACGATACATTCCCGTGCAAATACGAGGGCTACATTTCTTGTTATTATATAAATTTTTAAATAAGATGAGTACTTATACGGATCGGATGTCCAAAATTCAATGCCATACTGGAGTAGATCTTGCGCCCATGCATGAGGACGATCCCATCGATCGTATCACATCACATGATAATGCACTGGAATCCTATTCCATCACTCTAATGATCATAATTAATGCGCTCTTGATCAAAGGCGAACAGTACCGTGGCAACGTCCCCTCTTTAAGCTGAACTCATTGCTCTGTACAATTGGCCTTCGAAATTGCAAAGTTTAAAAAACTGAGCAATTTCGGACATTGGAGTATCAGACCACTACTCAGTGAAATGCAGGCTGCGGTACAAGGAGATTTCCAGGAGTATCCGGGATATTATCATAAACAAATATGTTGCTAAATACTCCCTCCGTACTCATAAAGAAAGTCGTTTAGGACAGCGACATGGTCTCCAAAACATAACTTTGACTTCTTATTTCTATAAAAATATTTATTGAAAAGTGATATATGTATACTTTTATGAAAGTATTTTTCAAGACAAATCCATTCATATAATTTTTACATTTTAAACTTAACAACTTAAAAGTTATTCATGATTTATATTCCCAAGGTTTGACTTAAACATTGTCCTAAACGACTTCCTTTACGAGTACGCGGGGAGTATTTCTATAAACTTAGCTAAAGTTAAAAGGAGGTTGACTAAGGCAGCGTTCGAGAGGGTGAGAGAGTGAGTTTGTTTGTTTTGTTTTCCGCGCGCACGTTTCCCAAACTACTAAACGGTGCATTTTTAGTTGCTTTAAAAAATTATATTAATCTATTTTTGAAATTTAAAATAGTTAATACTCAATTAATCATGAGTTAATAGCTCACCTCGTTTGCGTATCTTCCCAATCTCCTCAATCCCCTTCTCCTCAAACACACCCTAAGAAAATAATCAAAATTAACATCATTTAATATGAAACGACGAGGGAGTATATAATATAATAATAAATTCGCGACGAGGGAGTATATAATATAATAATAAATTCGAAATGCTAAATGTCATTGTACAAAAATTTAGGGGCAATATTTTACAGATTTTAGACTGTTGGATTGGCGCCAAGATTCGTGCCCGCGCTTTTTCTCCCCCAACCCCGACGAGCTCTCACTCTTCTCCGGTGCCGGCGATGCCCCCAACTCCGACAGGGGACATATATATGGATTAGGATTTGGGGTTGGATTGTTAGAGTAGGAGTGGGGATGTGGCGGGGGAAGAAGGTAGTTCCCCAAGGCTTAGAGGGATGGGTGTGGGCAGCGGTGGGCGGTAAGGCACCAATGGTGGCACTAGAGCCATAGGGATGGCAGGAGGCGGTGGGCCAACGTTAGCGGCCGGGCAAACAACGAGACTGGTTAGAAGGCAACAGCCGATGATGCCGTATCTGGCGACCGGGAGCCACCAGAGACGGGGAAGACGGCGAAATAAGGGACTCGGCGACGTTGCCTTGGGAAAGAGAGAGGAGGAGGGGGAGAAGGCCGACCAAGGTGGGAGAGGGGGCTCATCGGTGCTGTTGACCCCTTCTGACCAGCTGGAGAGGTAGCGGAGGAGCAGGAGACAGAGCTGAAGGTTTTGCGTGAGCGCACGAAAGCGGCGGCGATGGGCGGGATTGAGGAAGACAAAGAGAAAAAAAGATTTGGGTATATATGTTTGCATGAATCTCAAAGCGATCCAATGGTATATATTTGCAAGATTTAAGAGGGTCTCAGTCAAAATCCATAATGACTGTCCTATGATAAATTTCGGAAGTTATTCTCATAAAGCTATTTTGGTCATTTAAACAAAATTGTAAAGTATTAACGAAGGCTAACCGGACGGTGATGGTAAATTATAGAAGTTAAACAAAACCAATTGCATATCGTAGAACGTGATAAAGTCAGTGATGGATCATAGATATATGATAAACTCAATAGCATATAATGTATTCTCACATCTCCAGCTCTGTCTCCACATGATACCATACGCATGGCACACTTGATACGATGAGACGCCCCTACTATTCGGGACAAAAGTCACAAAACTCGATGCTCTCTCCAAGTCTCACCTGGTCCCACGCGAAAAACCATGTGGCCACCCATGTCCATACATAAAACAACTCCGCCATGCGCCCCACGCGTGCATCTCCTGCTATAAAAACGAACATCTCCACAGTACACGAGTGCTCATTGCCTTCCAAGCACAGCAGCTCATCACTGAGCTGACCAGAGAGAGCCGGAGATGGGATCGACGGCGACGGCGAGGCGGCAGCACCACGCCGTGATGGTGCCGTACCCGGCGCAGGGCCACGTCACGCCGATGCTGAAGCTGGCCAAGCTGCTCCACGCGCGCGGCTTCCACGTCACCTTCGTCAACACCGAGTTCAACCACCGCCGCCTCCTCGCCTCCCGTGGCGCCGCCGCGCTCGACGGCGTCGTCCCCGGGTTCCGCTTCGCCGCCATCCCCGACGGCCTCCCGCCCTCCGACCCCGACGCCACCCAGGACATCCCCGCGCTCTGCTACTCCACCATGACCACCTGCCTCCCCCACCTCGACGCGCTCCTCGCCACGATCAACGCCGACGCCGCCGCGGCGCCGCCGGTGACGTGCGTCGTCTGCGACGGCGTCATGTCGTTCGCGTACGACGCGGCGAGGCGGATCGGCGTGCCGTGCGCCGCGCTGTGGACGGCCAGCGCGTGCGGGCTCATGGGGTACCGCCACTACCGGCATCTCGTGGAGCGGGGCCTCGTGCCGCTCAGGGACGCGGCGCAGCTCACCGACGGGTACCTCGACACGGTGGTCGACGGCGCGCGCGGCATGTGCGACGGCGTCCGGCTCCGCGACCTCCCGAGCTTCATCCGCACCACGGACCGCGGGGACACCATGCTCAACTTCCTCATGCGCGAGTGCGAGCGCCTCTCCCTCCCCGACGCCGTCATCGTCAACACCTTCGACGACCTCGAGCGCCAGGCGCTCGACGAAATGCGCAGGGTCCTCCCGCCGCCCGTCTACGCCGTCGGCCCGCTCCTCCTCCAGGTCCGCCGCGCCGTCCCCGCGGGCTCCCAGCTCGACGTCGCCGTCGGCTCCAACCTCTGGAAGGAGCAGGGCGGCCTTCTCGAGTGGCTCGACGGCCGGCCGCCGCGCTCCGTCGTGTACGTCAACTACGGCAGCATCGCCGTGATGACGAACGAGCAGCTCCTCGAGTTCGCCTGGGGCCTCGCTCACAGCGGCTACCCGTTCCTCTGGAACGTGCGCCCCGACCTCGTCAAGGGCGACGCCGCCGTGCTGCCGCCGGAGTTCCTCGCCGCCGTGGAGGGCCGCGGGCTGCTGACGACGTGGTGCCCGCAGGAGCAGGTGATCGAACACCCTGCGGTGGGCGTGTTCCTGACGCACTCCGGGTGGAACTCGACGCTGGAGAGCCTCGCCGCTGGCGTGCCGATGCTGAGCTGGCCGTTCTTCGCGGAGCAGCAGACGAACTGCCGGTACAAGCGGACGGAGTGGGGCGTCGGGATGGAGATCGGCGGCGAGGCGCGGCGAGGGGAGGTGGCGGCGCTGATACGGGAGGCCATGGAGGGGGAGAAGGGGGCGGAGATGCGACGGCGCGCGGCGGGGTGGAAGGAGGCGGCGGCGAGGGCGGCGCGGCCGGGTGGGCCCGCGGAGTGTGGGCTGGATCGGCTCATCCACGAGGTGCTCCTCGCTGGTGGGAACAAGGGTGGTCAAAGGCTAAGCTAGCTAGCCGTTTGACGCACGTGACTGTGGGAATTAATAATGTGTGGACATGTGTATTTGAATTCCATGTGAAATTCGAAATGATTCGTCAAACAATTTAATTTATGTAGAAATTCCTACGAAATTGCCTTGTTCCAAAACATCGTGAGCTAGGAGCTCGAGAAATGGATCTTTTTTTTTTTTACAAACATAGACGATTAAAACACACGTACACTTACTCCGATGAACGCATGTACGCACGCTCTACTCTAATACACATTCGAAAGATTTTAACGATATATCTTTAGATTCACGAATTCCCTATAAACACATCGGTATCAACGGGCATGTCACTTTCTACTGAAGGAATAATTAGATGCATGGTTGGAAATTTCGGACTAGACCCCTCTGATACGATATTATTTCAGCCGAAAATTTTTATTTTTTTTAAATTTTTCGTGAATTTTGGTAATATTTGTTCGAATTCAACTAAATTTTGTTCAAAAATATCGGAAATTTCGGTGAGGTCCAATCAAATTAGCTAAACCGAAGTTTAACCCTGATTAGATGTAAATACGAGCACACTTAATATAAAACACATGTTACTTTCAGTGACGAATTCCCACTACAGGATGATACACATTTGGAGGCGAGCTAATCAGCCTCAAAATCCCAAAAAATCCGCCTCAGAATATGTATTGAGGCCAACATTCACTGCCTCGGATACTCCTGCCTCAAAATAGTATATTGAGGCAGGCATAAGAGTTGGCCTCTAAAAGGTGTATTTGAGGCTAACCATGTATGCCTCAGAATTTGATTGAGGCATACCGCATGCCTCAATGCTAGGGTACGCTACCGAGGCTATTACTGCTGCCTCAAAACAAATTGAGGCAACTGTAACCTGCCTCAATGTAGGATGCATCAAATTAATTATATTTCCTAGATTATTATTGTGGGAAATACACATTTTCATCATCATGAAAACATGAAAACTTGACAATTGAAACAATAAGAAATTAAATAGTATCCAAATCACTTCATTTCATATATTAGCAGTACATCCAATCATACATGTCCAATAAATAATACATAGCATCTCATCCGTCACTTAGACTATAACAACATTCTGGTGGTCTTAATATAGGCATTAAAGTGAACTAATATGTCTGAACTCCAATTCATATGTGGCATTTACAAGTGTTGAGACAATCAACTACTCAAAAGTGTAGATATATAATTACTGCTCATGTTTGAGCTATCTCTTCTAAGAAGTTCTCGCCAATTTTCTATAGTTGAACATGATCGACAATCATCACCGTTTGAGAGAAACTCGAGCACCTGGAGTGTAAATATGTAAAATTCAGTTAACACAAACAAACAATGTCACTATCTTTATTTAAATAAAGAACATAAAATATGATCATGAGCATGGAAATTGAGTTTACTACCAAAGAAAAATTGACAAAACAATCCAAAGTATAGCAGGAACTAATTATACAGAGAAGGAAATGCTAGAGACCTATGATTAAACATTTTGAACAGAAGTACATTTCTATGTAAAATAGACTGCACCTATTGAGGTTTTAAAGTATATGGCAATCCAAATTACAATAGCATTTCTATCTTTTGCATACTTATATTTTGCTCAATGAAATTTCCAGAATAAAAATGATGTAAATACTCTATATATACCCAACATAAATGGCACATATACCTGTTTTTGTCACTTCCCCATTGCACTGAGGTGACACTTCTTCAACCTTTCAAATTGATATTTACCATGTTAGACTTGCTATGTAAACTAAGCAATAAAACAAAGAAGCCAAGAAAGGAACATACTAGTTGGGATGGCCATGCAATGCAATGACCAATAGCGTCTCTAATATAGTTCAAATTTCTGTGCGGCCGGAACAATTCAGCATCTCCACATATAAGACTGTCTATCACTACTTTGTAGCACTCCCTTCCCAGCATTGTTCCTCCGACCATTTCTAAGGGGTCTTGACTTTGAATAGTAGCTCTTGCAACACGGTTATATGGACGAACAATTCTCTTAAGAAAGACATCCCTTCCAACCTATTTCAAAATGTGGCCACATCAGATTTTATTACAGAGTAGAAAGTAGAATAGTTGCTACTGTTTTGTAGTAATAAAAAAGAACTAACCACATTTTCACAAGCTAATGCTGCCCTTTTGACCTTAGCATGTTTAGTTGTTCCCACATTGGCCCCTTCAATTTCAGTAGGCTTGTTGTTATTGTACCTGGCCATATGCTTCTGTACCCCCTGTTACACAATAGAAGATGTTACTGTTGTCAACCTATTAGCATGCATTAAGCAACACAAATGCATGGTGGTAATATAGTGCGTTCCAAATAAATACCATATATCCATATACAAACTTCAGCAGCAATTTGAGTGATCACAGTTGGAACTTTAGAGCGTTTACTTGTGGCATGATTGCTTGTTGTTTCTCCACAACGTTTTTTTTTGTCATTTTTGGTTGCTTGGTACAATTGTGATTGTCCACATCTTTTTCTACCCCCTGTTGTACATTACATGTAGCATCAACCCTTCTCAATGAATCCTACAAGACTTAAGATATGTTACAGTTTGACTTGAAAAATGAAGTAAAATCGATGTTATTCAGCTCACCTTCGTAACATGCATATTTTGATTAACTTGCGATTCTCTGGCAACTCCTGGTTGCACCTATATTCAACAAAAAATAAATAAGTCTATACTAATTCCAAATAATACTAGTGCATTGACTTGAAAAATATGAAGCAAAGTCATCGTTATTCACTCATCATCCCATCATGTCTGTTATGATTAAGCTGAGATTCTTTAACAATTCTTGGTTGTACCTGTATTTTAAAAAATAATTCTTAATGCCGCAAACAATACTAGTGCATTGACTTGAACAAGATAAAGTAAAGTCGAAGTTATTGTTAGTGCATCGTACTAAGCACAACTACTATCTGTTCGAGAAGAGCTTGAGCAGGGGACAAACAAAGAAGAATAAAGCAACCAACTAGCTAGGAGAAGAATAAAGCAACAAGCAAGCTAGATGGCTACCTGCATTTCATTCACCAAAAATCATATTTTAAACTAACATGCACCAGCTTCTAGACTATTCTAGACCATGTTCTAACTTTAGGACTATTCTAGAAGTACTTCAAACGAAGGAAATGAATTAGTTTCCATTAGCTCACCTTCCTAGCATGTTTGTTCAGACTAAGCTGCAATTCTCTAGCAATTCTTGGTTGTATCTGTATTCAACAAAGGAAAAAAACCATTAGATGAAACTAGACTAGCACATTGAGTTGAAAAATATGGAGAAAAGTAAATGTCATTGAAGTTACCTTCATAGCAGGCCTCTTCTGATTTAGTTGCAATGCTTCAACAATTCTTGGTTGTATCTAAAATCAAGGAAAAAAGATAGAAGTTTATAGTTCCTGAATAATAATACCAGTACAATTGAGGTTATGCAAAATGAACTATGATCTTTTATATTGTTTGAGGCGGATGAGCATGAGTGCTCCTCAGTTGGCTTGTTCAAGGAATGCCTTTGTTCAGGAGAAGTATGCTTCATAGCTTTAAATTCTGCCATTTTCTCTGCAAGTCGTCTCTCCATTCGTTCTTCCATTCTTTCTTCCAGCTGTTGCATCCCTTCTTTTAAAGCACATACTTCTTCTTCTGCTCTATGTCTTGCTTCTCTCTCCAACTGTAAGCTTGTTCTTTCTGTTGATTTAGTTCCTGGCAAACCAAGACTTAATATAAAACACATGTTACTTTCAGTGACGAATTCGATCCTCGATTCGTTATTGTGCCATTTAGTTTTATGACGTTTGGTAGGAGGATTGTGTTGCTTAGTGACAAAAATGAGATGTTCGTCATTGAGACCAAAGACAAATTGACATGAACTAATCCAATGATATATCAGGACAAATGTTTTTCTATAAGAGACCAACCGGGGCAAATATTTTTTTATAAGAGACCAACCGGCAAATGTTGTAAGTTCATGATTGAAAGCACCATGGCCTGAATTTGTAAGCTGTCAAAAATTACTTAATGTTTTTAGAATTTATAATAATGTGCAAAAATGAATTAAGTTTAATGAAGTAAACAGGGGAATAAAAAATTATTAATAAATCACGGTGCGAGTTATTTTTCCTAAATTATCCATAAACTAAAATACTATATGAAATTTTAGTGGAATTTTCAGAGCTATATTATAATTTTAGTAATACATGAATTATTTATGTAATTTTTGGTGTTCCTACCCTTCACCCTCTCTAGTAGGTTTGGTACTGCCTCCGTTTCACAATGTAAGTCATTGTAGCATTTTCCACATTCATATTGATGTTAATGAATCTAGACATATATATCTATCTAGATTCATTAACATCAATATGAATGTGAGAAATACTAGAATGATTTATATTGTGAAACGGAGGGAGTAGGTTTTTAGTGTTACTACACATCTAGATTGCAGTGTAGACCAACCTGCATAGTCCAAACATCAAAATTGAGCACAGTTGAAATTCAGCGTCACTAAACCAATTTTGCCACAGAACAAGATACTACATACAGTACCACATGGTGACAAGAATTGAACACAATTCCTTCAGCTTAGTCAAGACGTCCATAAGAGGATTGTGCATAGGTGAGTTCTAGGCAAAAGGAACTGAATCTGAGATATATACAGGAATCTATATGCAGGGCACATATTTCATAACTTGGATTAGTCGGTCACACCATCCAGAACGGCTCTTGCGGTTTTAGGCAAAATGGAACTGAAATATGAACAGGCAGAATAGCTCCAAGATGGCATCTATATAGACAGACACTGCACAGATTTCGCCATCCAGAACTCAGCTCTTTCTTGGTCCGTAAAATACTGATTACGACCATGTTAAGTAGAGGATCATCTTCATTAATTTGATGGACACCTCCAGATGAACAAAGAAAAGATATATACTGATTCAGAGCGATGCAACCTTGTAGGCTGTTCCTGTAATAGAAGAAAAAAGTGTTCAGCGCCATTTAGCGTGCTAGGTTTAATGTCTCTTGTTTACATGAATATGTGTAGGTAAGCTATGAACATGTGGAATCATATCATAACTGTCTATGCGCTGAAAATCGAATAACTTACATCGGGTGGAACGAGTCCACGATTTATAGGCTTGTGTGTTGCAATTTGCAACTGAAGGACTGAGGCTTTTCTGCAAAGAGGTTATGTGCTGTGGCTGACGGGAGCTGCCCTGTGTACACCGTGCTAACTTTTTCGGGCTCAAGGTGGCAATTTTCCCAGCCGCTTACGCGCACGAGAAGTGAGCCGGTGGTTTCGGTGGAAATGCATCCGATTTCATTTAGCACGGTATTGTATTTCTCTTGGATGACGAAAGAATGGCTGCTTGCAGCTTTGTGAACATCCTGGAATGGCTGTCCAAGACTTCCTTCATCACTTCGGTCTTCTAGCCTGGTTGAATGAGCAGCGACTCAAAATTGAAGAAACTTTTTTTTTGCAGTAGGATTTGACAGAATTGATGAACAAAAAAAGGAACATCAGCAACAAAAGAGTGTAATGGGGGAAGGATCCGAAACAAAGCAACGATACTTTGATTAATTGATTGATATATATTTGTGGAGATGTCAAAACAACAAGGCAGCAATACAAATAAGTCAACTTTAGGGTTTTAGTATAGTCCCTGAAAACCAGAAAATTGCAAATCAATAATCAATTTTTGGCTGTCTGAAGAGGCTGGTAGTCATAAGATCTGATTTTGAAGGTCAGGTTAATTTTCAGACTTCTGTGAGAACGACTGTGAAAGTTCAGAATTGGAAATTCGACTTCTTCCTGACCAGAACTGCATCCAAGCATAGGACATACGGAAGGTGCAAAGTAGATATTTTACATACATGTCGGGGGATGCATCGGGGTTGTAGTCTTGCTCCTACAGGATAGCAGCTGAATTATAAAGGAGCAAGTGAACACAAATAATTGCACACCACATGCCCCCATGGACATACCTCAGCAATGAACTCCCATTTTTCATCCTTAAGAGATTGCCGTACAACATCACCATGATCATACACAATCTGGGTTTCAAACAAAAGAAAAGAGAATATCTAAATATGAAGTCAAGTGAAAGGAAGCAAAAGAAACGGTGCCCAAATTAATAAATGGAGCATGGAAAGTGCAGACAAAGCCCACATGCAAAATGTTCACCTCGTGTGTTTCTGAAGAAGCATCAAATGACTTAACCAATCCATTGTAGAACCTGCAGAGCATGCAATGAATTCAAAATTAATAAGAGAAGCCTAAAACATACACACATAACTCCAGTATAACTCATGAGAGTTCGTTATAAAACCAGAGGACTAAAGCAATGGAAGTTCAATAAGAACCAGCATTAACAATTGAACAATATAGCAAATGGTAAAACATTGGTACATAGCTCCATACACCAGGTTTAAGTCGCCAAAAGTTTTATATAAACAAGTCCAATGAATAAACAACAAACCATTGAGCACTAATTATAATATAGATGCATGTTTTAGAACATCTCTTCAAATAAGAAACATATTTGATGATTATCACACTTACATTTCATCAGCAGGCCACCGTACTTTGATTCTCGAGCCGACAATGCTACCGTCAAGAGCTTTTTTATTTGAATTAGGAGCCTGACAAGAGGACATAAAGCTTGTAACTGAAACAGAGAGCATGGTGGAACAATAATGTTTACTTTTGACATTCAGCAATCAGGCACGCATACCTCTTTAGTTCCCTGTACAATTTCCGGTTTCAACTCATCCCCACTATCTGCTGGTTGTCCTATAGTTTTACCCATCATGGTCGAAGATTTAGGAGACACTACTTCCTTCTTAATAATGAAATAGTCAGTGCGGTTGACCAATAAGATGATCATAGCATGGACAAAACTTTCAATACAACTGTTAGAACTCTATGAACTCTCTCTGTGACAGATTACCATTGCCAATCATAAAGCTGTAGAACTTTGTTCAAATGAAGATGATAAACTTTTCAACAACACAATGATCATCAAACAATGGGGATATAAGCTATACATTTGAAAACGATGAGCTATGGTTCTACTAACTGTAAACAGTAGTTTCCACCAGCCACTTCAAATACGAAGACCCCCAAAAGTGAATTATGATTAAGTAAAACAGATATTCAACCTTTAACTGGTAATACCCATGCATGTGTGGTGTGCAGTGCAAACAACTCAATATATTGGCTGGTAATAAAAGTACTACTTTAAAATTGAAATCCTAATCAGTGTGTTGGTTACATGATAGTAATATTGCAATGATCAGCTAGTTGGAAATATATTACATAGAATATATAGGTTAAATTTCACAAAACCCAGTTTTCAAGACATTCATAGCACAAAACCATAGGTACTACAATTTTTTTTCAAGGAACCCTATGTTTTGGGGCAGTAACCATTAGGGCAAAAATATTATCCAAATATGTAGAAGTAGTAAAGCAGTTTAACTGACCATGTCATGCATAAAAGCACCAACATTGTTATCTCCAGCAACTATAGCATCTTGGAGAAATGATGTAACAAGATTGCTATACTCGGTTATGGGAGCACCCTGAAGTAGTTTGATGAACACTGGCTTTAACTTTTCATGGCAGAGTCCTATTACCCTCTCTGCAAGTACAAAAGATGCTGGAGGAGTTTCCTACAAGCCAAGTTGAAAACTTTAGTGAAGATGATGTTATATTGTTGATACAAACAATGTATGGACCAAATTACTTTTTCTTCCTTTTTAACATTCTGAAGCAGGCAGGATGCCAGATCTTTAATTAGATCTTGTTCCATATCAGTAATATCTTCGATCACAAACTTCATTATGGTTTCCATATAGGATATAACATGCTCCTGATGAGTATTGCTGAAATAAATGAAAAACGTTAAGGAATGAAAGGGTAATAAAAGCACCTGATAATTTTAATAAAGCATACACAAGACAAAAACATGCATGCACACATTTAGAGGAAAAGGCGTCTGCAATATACACACAAATAGAGGGATTCTTGAAGTAACAAACTGCAGTGACATTGTGAGCTCTTATCTCATAGCATTTTGTTAATTCATAAGCAGAACAATGGTATAATCTCAACTTGCAGCAACTCAAATCACGGTGTACTTTGTAGAATACTATGTTAGAAAAAAAATACAGCAATTGACAGCTCTTGACACACAAATGGAGTAAAACAGTGGAAACAAAGAATAATTAATGGTGGGTTGTATCACTATTTTTATGGGCCAGGATAAACTGTGCCTCAGTTCTAAAATGAAGAACAACAAAGGGGTGAAATTTTGTAGCACCATAAAAGGTGTCATTAAATTTTATTAGAAAAGACAAAATGATGAATGATGTATATGCAAAATGATGTTCTGTGTGGACCGAAAATAATTACATAGATGCTTTCAGTGTTATGGTCAGTATAACCGATCAGCTTAACAATTTAAGTGAAATGCATAAAGCATGCAAACTACATAGAAAAGCCATCTTTACAATGTTTCCCTGAATCAGAGTAACTTTAAACATGGTTATAACCTGCATCCTTCACCTTCTCTGTATATTCCACAACCATAAGTCCATAACTATGTCATATAAACTGCCACAGTCATTCATACGCATCTTTTAAAGTCAAGAACAGGACTGCAACATCTCTGTAATCCATTTGACAGAAATTATGACAGAATGGACACAAGTATGGCAGAAAAACAGAGAAAGAAGTTGCATACGATACGGTGCGGAAGAAATGGTGAAACATATCCCGTATCAGATCATTGCAGTCAAGATCTAACAACAAGGCACAACCCCGTATCCTTGCAAAAGTTCCAAGCATTGAAACCCTTGTTCCATAGGAGGGGCAGTCCACATCATCCAGTTCACAGAAGACCCCAACAACAAGCTTGAGAACATCCTGAAACAAGGTAAGAGATAAAGGTCAGTAATACACTCAAACACCACCATTTCATCCCCAGAAGAACAAGAAGAAGAGAAAGTCACCTTCATCACATCATCATCATAAGGGGGATCCGGCGCGCGGATCTTGATCAGCGTGGTTAAACACGACGCTACGGCGAGCTTCACTCCGGGGTCAGTGTGATCCAGTAGCTCTTTCTTAATCAATGCTCTCATAACAGGGATAAGAGCACTGTGAATTCTGTCTACCTCACACTGATTCACTCTGTACAACAATTTGGCTGCTTCCTGCATAAAAGAAAAGAAATTCTAAAAAAAGTCTCTACATGGTCAATCAGATCCAATCCAAACAATACACTTCTGTAACCACAGTCAAGCCAAACAACACAACAGCTAAATAAAGTCTTGTTCAAAATTTGATTTATTTTTCAAAGAAGGCAATAGAGAGCTAACTAAAGATTAGAGTCCATTATAACAATCCAATGCTGGAGTAGAGATTCTAGTATTGCCGAAACTCCTACTTTTGCAGCACCCTAATTACTTCTAATTGAAATGGTATTACTTGAGAGTTGATGAATAGTACATAATAAATCAAGGGTTCGAACTGGGGGGCAGAGCTCACCTGGAGCAACCTGAGCAGCTCGCCGTCGTCCGGAAGCGAGCTCAGGCGGGCGCCGACGTCGCGCAGCCGCCGCCGCACCTCCACCTCCGCGGCGTCCCGCTCCATTCGGCGGCGACACAGTCGGAGAGAAGCAGTAGCACTGTTTGAGTGAAGGGGACTGTGGTTGTAGCCGGTGCAGCGGAGAGACTGACAACGTTTCTCTCTGTTCTTTTTTATGTTAAAAGATCCTTTTGATATCGTATCACCCAATTTCTTCTATATCAAAAGGCAGAACAGTACCCAGATCAAACTTTTATAACTTTAACGGTCCATATCTTTAAAACTATTTAATTTAAAGACACTAAAACAGTATATACATATTTGTCTTACAAAGTGAGTGATAATTTATTTATCTCTTGTATATATATTATGATAGAAAAATATAGTCAAAGAAAGATTTCAGAGATCGTGTCATTGTTTAATGCGTCTAATAATTATGGAACCGGAGGGAATAGGCAAAGAAAGCATATTAATGTTCTTGTCGAATGAGAAGTGGGACGGCGGATGATATTGGAACTAATAGATGGGTCTTAGCCCATTTAAAGATTAATTCTTTAGAAAATAAAAAAAACCCACATCATAGGAGGTATGTATAGGAGTATCACCTTACCGATTCTAGAAGAGAGACCTCCTTAAAAGGAGAGTGCTCTCCTATTCAATTGAGGCATGTGTAGTTGAGAACTAGATAAGGCTTGTTCTGGTCAGGCTGGCCAGGTAGCATATGTACGCGATATACTCGTGAATGGTCTATCAAAATTGGTTCCTCATCTTTATGCAGACGTGACTTTTTTAGTTTTGTTTTGCTGTAAAATTCGGTATTTGTTTTTCTAAACCTAGCGCATAGAAACACATCGTTGGTACGTGGAACGGCGTAGAGTCCGAATAAGTTACGTACGACAGTTTTGTTTTGTTGTAAAATTCGGTGTTTGTTTTGTAAACCTAGATTTCGGAAATACATCGAATAATCCGGTGCATGAAGTGGCGTGGAGTCCGGATAAGTTATGCATGACTTATCCGGTTCGGTTACGTAGTGTGGAGATCGTGCAGGCATCTGATCACGCGTCATGTTATCTCTATAAAACCAAGTTGTCGCCTCCTTGCAACATATGCGAAAGCAATCTAGGGTTTTCTATCTCTCTATATACTACGTCGCTGCTCCTAGTCTACTCCGTCCTGTTTGTTAACATGAACCGATATCGGGAGAGTATGTCTCCGAAACCTTCGTCTTTAACATCCTACACAGGGTGAAGGTAACAATAAGGTTTTTGCGAAGCTCTTCACGTGACTGCTTGTTGTTCGTCCGCCACGGCTCGATCATCTTCCTCTTCGTTCAAGTGTTACGCACCGTCATCAACACATGGTACCGCGAGTTTTTCATGCTGTGCAGTTGAACTTTCAAAATCCTTGGTACACATTGACAATATTTTACATATTAGATATGTTCATGTTTTATGTCTATTTTACATTTATAGATTATATGATAAGATTATGCTAATTTATATTTTTAATATCATGATTAAATCTAATGTGCTTATATTTCCAATAACGAAAGTGAGATGGAGATAATTTAAATGGAGCGTGGTTTTAAATTCTAGAAATGTATTTTTTTTTTGGACGGAAGTAGTATTTTACTATCGCTCTTTGGTTTTGGATCGTCGTGAAAACGAGAATCATGGTGTTTAAAGTTAGCTCAACTATTAACTTATAAATTATACTAATAGAAAGAAATTAATCCGGTAGTTGAGGTGTCAGGTTGATAGTATAAATATATATTATCTATTTAGAATATATGAACGGTGCAAATTTGATTTTACTACCACGTGATAGCCTAACATTTTCTTTTCGAAAAAACAACAATCGGGACGTGTAATACAGAGAATATTCTTTTTACAAATAATAGTATTTAATAAAAATAGCAAAAAAATATATATCCTCATTCTAAAATAATAGATTTAGTACATGTTGTTTTGGCGGTTCGACAAGACGCTGTTAACGTCAAAATTTGGTAATATTCTTTAGCGGATTCGATTAATTAATCAGCCGATGGAAATATTATCCATAAGAGTCCAAGTTCTGAACCATGAATACCATAGCATGGCAATTTAATTATATCCATTAATTAGGCATCATTTAGTAATTTTGGAAGTTTTGTCTAGTGTCCGATTGGGATTTATATCTATCCTTTTAACTTTAGGAAACTTGTGTCAGGTCCTATATGGATATATCTACCCATGGGTATAAATATTTGTTTCCGTATGCCTATCATTGCCTATAGGTGATCGAGATACGCCTATACTTGGTCCTTGACCAGTAGATCATAGCGATCTCTCACCACCTAAAAATTCATCTTTACGTGATCGAGATACGCCTACACCTGGTCCTCGACCAGTAGATCGTAGCGATCTCTCACCACCTAAAAATTCATCTTCAGGTGATCGAGATATGCCTACACCTGGTCCTCGACCAGTAGATCATAGCGATCTCTCGCCACCTAAAAATTCATTCGAGATATGCCTACTCCTGGTCCTTGACCAGTCAGTTATAGCAATCTCTCGACATCACACGACGACGATGAAACTCGAGATCCCCAGACTTCTAGAGGGCCCGAGGATGAGGTAGTAGATCTAGGAGCCGAACCTCCGACTACGATAATCCCTCACCGACTTCGTCGTCGTCAGGAGGCAGTTCTCCCAGGTCACGAGAACGCCGTCCATCCATTATTCTGGATCCTCTTCAGGTGGTCGAGGTACGACTACGACTGGTCTTTGACCAGCAACGTAGCGATCCTCACACCACGACTTCTAACGGTCGAGGTACGACTACGACTGGTCTTTGACCAGCAAAGTAGCGGTCCTCGCACCACGATTTCTAACGGTCGAGGTACCACTACGACTGGTCTTCGACCAGCAACGTAGCGTTCCTCGCACATATATTTCAAACGATCGAGAGATACTCACTTCTGGTTATCAACCAGTAGGATGTAGCGATCTCTCGCACCTTAAACTCCATTGGTCGAGTTGTTACTATAATTGGTCTTCGATCAGCAGTGCAGCGTATCTCCCACTACCTCTACGATTTGTTGAGTACAACTATACACCTGGTCTTCACCAGGTGTGGAAGTCGTCTCATCACTTTATATACGTCAACTTCTGTAAGTATTTATATGTGCAATATTTGTCCGGTGATTCTCTTTTCTTATATCGTCTTTGTCTTGAAGTCGGTCCTACTTTCCCTTTACGCTGTTCTGATAAGCCTCCGAGAAACCTAAGGGAATTTCGGCTAGGGACGCCCAGAGCAGATAAGGTCTTGTCAAATTCTAAGAGCCAAACGACCATGTAAAACCTGGTCAAGTAAGAGTGCTCAATGGATGCGTATTAACTAAGCCGTGTAATCGGAAATTGACTTTTCCAACTTCACGGCTGGGAGCTAGGATTTGTCAGCTTCAGCATGGTTTGTTATAGGATTCAAGCTGTCTTTGTTGAAAATAGTTTTTCCATAAAAACAGCTGGGGGCTAGGAAGGGTACCAAACTCCGATTGCTGAGAGCAACTCTAGCGAGAGTACTCTTTTATTGTTACACGCAGATTCAACTTATTTTCAATTTTTCCATACATATTATAACATGTTACCCTTTGTGCGTTCGCTCGGGGGCTATTTCTATTTAATATTCTATTCTGAGTATTGATTTTAGGAAAGTTTCATTCAATGCTGTCAAGTACTCCATGTCTCTATGGTCTTACACCGGGATCGATTAAGCGAGTTCAACAAATGTTGACAAATGTTTGGACCGTTGAGCTCCCTCTAGCGTTGTCGATAACTCCATGTCTCTACGGTCTTACACCGGGATCAACCAAACGAGCACGACAAGGTGGTAGTAGGTGAAGTCGTGGAGAACAACATGAGTTCATTTAAGTTAAAGGCTTTGTCATAGACTCTACACCCTCTCGATTACCCGAGAACGGCTGTTGGATTTCAACAAGGGATATGGAATGAAGCGATGGTGTACCCGCCGAGATGAAATTTCTTGACTTCAATCCAAATTCTCGATTACAATAAGACGGGAGACTTAGTCGCATGCTCCATACCTTCTCGATCAACATCGGGACCTAGACAAACCCAATATAGTGCCTATGGAATCTAGCGCTATCTCTGATCTTATCGAGAACGGTCAAGTGTGCACGACAATAGTTTTTCAAAGGTCTTCGGTCGAGAACATGAATTCGTTCATTTGCATTGAGGTTGGGGGCTACTGTCATGGTTATGGATACTACATACCTAATAGTAGTTGACTAAGCTCAGCGGGGCCCACCATATACCCAGTCTTATGCGGAATCATACCTCGTATATAGGAGTTCCGAATAAGGAAGGACAAATAGAGTTCTATATGGAAGCGACAAGGACTACTCGGATTAATCCATATTGGTCTCCCTAGTTTTACTTGGACAAGGAGCTACCTATGGGTATAAATACAAGCCCCCCTAGAAGGAGAGGGGACAAGTCACAAGCCACAAGACACAACATACACACAAGCCAACACACGCCGCCGGATATCAACATCAGAGATAAGCCTAGACATACCCCATCCAGTGCCTACGGAAGCCGGCAAGAGGGATCTAGCACCATCTCCGATCTCGACGAGTTCGTATTCAAGGAGAAAGGCTACCCTGTCGTCGACTACAGCAGGTTGGTTGTCCCTGCCGCCAAGTCGACGACAGCTAGATAGGTTATCCTAATTATTGTATTTTTGTGATTCAGATGAATAAAGAGCAACACCGGCTTCGGCCAACAGGATGTAGGGCTATTACCTATCAGATAAGGGGTCCGAACCTGTATAAAAATCCCTATCTCCATCTCTTTTTCCTCAATCTCACATATACCCTGGTACCGACGATCTCCATACCATACAAATACCCTAGTCGCGATCTCAAATGTCGACAAATATATATTACGGAACACACATGAGATAGTTGCTAGTATTCATGTGAAAGTAATAGTGCTGGTTGTAGCAATATTATTATGAAAAATAAATAAGAATGAGAAAACAAGAAGATAGAACAATGAAAGAATATAGGGTTAAAGTTTTAGTTTCACACAGGTATTACGACGAATAACAATTTTAATAATATTAGTATATTATCGATTAATGTGAGTATATACCATACCATGGATATGAGCAACTTTTCCCCTCATGTGTTTGGGCTAGTGACTAACCTCCCTTTTTTCGGTTTATCTTACCTTCTTTCGAAGTTCTCCTAACATGTGATAGGTAGGAAATGTTTTGTTATTTCAATGAAATAAAGAAACGATTTGCCTAGATTATTTTATAGAGAGAATCCATTGTGTGCCACTAACTTTGTCCCCATTCTATAGTATGCCACTGAGTTTGTCAAGTTCTACATTATGCCATCGTATTTAACTTCTATAATATACCATCGCCATCCATTTAGACTCCTGTAGTACAATATAATAATTTTGTCCTTAGGACCCAAATATCCCTGGGACGAAAATTTCCAAAATTTGGCCGAAAATTCCGAAATATCATATTGTAAACTAGGCAGAGAAGTTGCCCATTTCAAACTTCAAAAGTTTTACAATATTATATTTTGATTCTTTTTACCAAAATTTGGAAGTTTTTTGGTCATTATAATAAAATTGTACAGTAATAATGGAGGCTAACTAGACGACGATGGTATATTATAGAAGTTAAGCAAAATGCGATGGCGCACTAGAACTTGACAAACCCAGTAACATATTGTAGAACAGGGACCAAAATCAGTGACACAATGGATTCTCTATTTTTTATGGTTGTTCACTTAACTACCTATCTACTATGGTGTATCGTTTTAAGAAAAAGCTAAATCTTATACTTATAAGTACATATCTTACACATTAAACTGCATACACATAATATAATTTTCGAATTATACAATGCACTTTTCACATTTTATAGGAGAAATATAGATAAATGATTTATTATCTATTTAATTATGAGAAAAATATTAGTCCAAACTGACATATATGTAAAAAATAAAAAAAACAATACGAAAGAATTACGAAAATACCTACTGATAGTCATCGTATATGATGTAGTGAGAAAATGAGTCCACAATCGAATGCTTTATTATTGAGCAAAATTGATGTATTATTTTTATCTTTTTTTACCTGAATCTATTTATCCGTATCATCATGTATCAACATATCATGAGATTATTAGTAATAGCTAACTACATCGGCCCAACCATACTTAGCTATCATGAGACTATCCAGTAATGGACAACTCTTCTTTAACTGTGCTAGAGAAAAAAAAAGTAAATTACAATTTATTCTTAAAAGTTTTCATCTTATGTCATACTTTAACCATTCTTTTCGCTTACATAGTGGCTAACTTTACATTTCAAATTGGGCCAGACTATTCTATCCATCTCTAAGTTTGGTGACTCAGCAACCACTATGTACACTAACTCTCTTTCTCTCTATTTTCTTTTTCCCTCCGATAGTTAGGGAACCACTAGCTCCAGCAAGAAGGAGCACGGATCTAGCGTCTCCGCTCTTCGTTGGGTCGGCTCGTGCCTCCTGAGTTAGTAAGCTCGACACCCTGACCTCAATGGCAACTGTGATAATAGTGTGCATGACGATGGGGGAGGAGAAAATACATGTCGGTAACTGGAGGGTGCGACTGTGCATGCAAAGACGAAGAGGAGGAACGATAGTGGCTTATGGAGAAAGAGCGGTTGGTGGCGATGCGTGGAATGATAATTAGGCCCCGTTTGGTAGGGCTCCAAACTCCAACTCCTATTTTTACTCTAAACTCCAACTCCAGTGAGAGCTAGCTCTGATTGGAGTTAGAGACTTGTTGAAAAGTGTTTGGCTAGCTTTCAGCTATAAATCTGAAAAAAATAAAAAAAATAATAATAAAAAAAGAAAACCCAGTCGCTGGCCATCCCCAGGCGCGCCGCCGACCGCTGGCCACGCACCGCCCATGCGCCGTCCCGGGCGCACCGCCCGTCGTTGTCCCGGCCGCCGCCGATGCTGCCGTCGCCCGCCGCCGCCGATGTAGCCGTCGCTCGCCGTCGCCCCGCTGACGTTGTCTTTGCTACTGTCGCCCGCTGCCGCTGTCGCCCGTGCCGCAGACGCTGTCGTCACCCGCCACTCGTCGTCACCGCTGCCGCCCACGCTGTCGTCGCCCGCCACTCGCCGTCGACGCTCGCCCGCTGCCGCTGGCTCCTGCCAACGCTGCCGACGCAGTCGCCGCCACCCGCCGATGCAGATCGGGAGGGGGATGGGAGGATGAGAGAGAATGGGGGAGAGGAGGTGTGGAGGGGTAGTTGGGTGGCATTTTTGTGAAAATAGGCTAAAAATTAAAGGGTAGTGGGTCTTTTGGGGTGAAGTGGAGCTGTAGAGTAGCAAAAACTCAGCTCCACCCCTAGTACAAATTTGTGGAGTAGCTCTGTTAACTCTGCTCTGAAAAACGGAGGATTTGGACCGTTTGGCACAGCTCCAGCTCCAGATAAGTTGAAGTTGGGAGGTAGAGCTGTGCCAAACGGGGCCTTAGTAATTGCTGGTGGTACGAAGAGTTTGTTCTCGACATAATCCCTAATCGAGTTGAGTAATTTATTTTTTTTTCATAGTATTGCTAATACGTGGCCCACTCGTCATCATAAGGAAAAATGTTGAGATAAAGGTAGCGTAAAAGAAAGAATCTCCCGTCTCGTCTCCTCCGCTCGTTGCGCCAAGACGAGTCGCGGCTGAACAGGGGAGGGGAGGTGACGAGCAGAGCAGAGCAGGGGAGGGGAGGGGATCCTGGTGAGCCTCTTTCTGATTCATCTCTCTCTCCCACCGGGACTGGAATTTGCTTGCGTTCGTTCGTTAACCCTAGCTTCTCTTCTAGATCTGGAAGAAGCTCTCTTCTCCTCGTTAATTTCAGAGCCTTAGCCTCTCTTAATACAAGTAGTAACAGTTTGTTTGTTTGTTCCCCCAAAATTCCCAAGTTGGATCCGCCCCTGGCTCTAGCGTTAGCACGGCTGGTACCTAGGGTACCTGGAGCTGATATGTTGAACCACTGGTTGATGATATGGTTTATGGACCGTATAACTATATAAGAACGTATGATGGTGCTTGTAAGGATGAGATTTCCCATATATATTATCCACCAAAATAGATTTTCTTGGTTTAGGCAATGCACTGTGCATCTGTTGCATGTCACTTGAAATAGGGCGACAAGTACCCCGTATGGGACATCGTAGATTTGTAGATGAATGCCAGCCATCGATTCAGGTTAGATGCAAACTTGTTTGATGGCTTAGGTGAGTTTCGGGCAGCATCTACGCGACTTATACTAGAGAATAAATAGGGAGTTAACACAAGATCTTCCATACAGCACTTGGGAAGATTGAATAGCTACCTAGCCAGTTAAATGAGCGTTTTTCTTTTTTTCATCCCTTCTATATAGCAACAAGAAGAAGAAAGTAGGTTACTTCATAGCATCATATATATACAGACAGTGGTGGTTTTAGATGACTATGGTGCTGTTAAGATGCGAGGGTGGTATGTCGGTGGAGTGGGTGCAGCGGTAGAGGAGAGGACTGAGGGTGGGAAAGATGGTGTGGGTGGGGAGAATCTGAGCCTGAGGAAGAGGAATGAGACAGATATTCACTTGCATTGGTAGAAGTTCCTTTCTCCTATTTTCATCCAAAAAAAAAAATCCTTTGCCCTACAGGATTAGAAATAATTATATGGTAGCGTGCATCATTGTAATTTTAGAAAGTCACACTTGAAAAATGTTTAGTACTTTTATGCAGGTTGTTAATTCATTCTGTAGATTAATTCATTCGGTAGATTATCATATTTCCACGTGAATTTCACATGCAGGCTGACTATTCAATATCCATGGCGCGGTGCATCTCCTTCCTGTCTACCTCCTCGTCCTTGCCATGTGCCACAAAACCGCCCTGCTGCTCAGTGTCCTCTGTCTTACCCTCGTCTCCGTCCTCTCATCAATGCCGAGGTAGGAAAACGAGTTGCGGGTCAATTAGGGCGCTGCGGGAGGATTGGAGGGAGAGATCCAAGGCCATCCCTCCTGGTGGCGTCTACCCAGCCAAGGACCACTGCAGCCAATGTGGGCTTTGTGACACCTACTACATTGCGCATGTCAAGAATGCCTGCGCATTCCTAGGAGATGGCATGTCCCGTGTCGAGGTATCATGCTAGTCTTTCCTTCCTTCATGCATGCGTTATTTCTTTCAAGCTAGCTAGCTTACCAAATCACATTTAAGTAGGATTTGGAGCCATTGGTCCATGGGAGGGGCAGGAAGCAAGACATGGATGAGATGTACTTCGGAGTGTATGAGCAACTCCTATATGCCAGGAAGATGAAACCTGTTGAAGGTTTGCTCCTTATCCACCATTTTTTTCTAGGCCACAAGATTGTGGTTACATATATGCTAATTAATGGCCAAGTAATTTGTGCAGGAGCCCAATGGACAGGAATAGTGACAACGATTGCGGTTGAGATGCTAAAGGCAAATATGGTTGATGCTGTGGTTTGTGTACAAAGGCACCTAAACAACAATCAAATATTACATAATTGCTTTCCGTTGCAAAAGGATTTTTTTCATGGTCTTGAGAAAACTGTTGTTTGTCTCCTCTGCAGTGACCCAGATGACAGGCTTGCTCCAATGCCTGTTTTAGCCAGGTAGGTACTAAGACAATGGTTGCTTGCTACTTCAGATTTTTTTTTTTTTCATATGGCTTGTGCTTACAACTTCTTACTTAAAGTACATTTGCATTTTACACTTATATGGTTTTATGGTCCATGAGGAGGTAACATGAGATACCACATTTTGTAGTATAAATTTTGGCACTTCCCAATATCTGTGATAGAAGATGAGGTACCTCTCGGTATCTCCTCAAGGACCATAGAATCACTCAAAAGTAAAAACCTTGCTTCCAGTCTACTGATTAACTACTTGTGCTGCTCATGCTTGCTAGAATTGAAGCAAAATTTGATTGATCAACTATTATCTCGTAGGACGCCAGATGAAGTTATTGCAGCCAAAGGTGTGAAGCCAACATTATCACCTAATCTCAATACGCTTGCGTTGGTTGAGGTAAATCTATCTCTTGTGCACACTATGCATCCTTTTTTTGGGTCACTAGCTCCTGTGTCTTGTCCCCTGCCCTTCAAAACCTATACAGGCATATGGGTGATTACGGCAGATATCTTTTGCCTTGGACATGAACTTGGAGTCATTTTTTCCAGAGCATTTTTACCTCATCCCCTTTCTAGGCAATTCGAATTTAGTTTGGTTTCAAAGGAATCAGAACTAATGTTGTTCTATTCAACCTACAAGATCAAATTTTACTTAATGTCATTCCAGTAGTGACTCTAAAGGCAAAACAAAGTCCAATTTAGGCTATTAGATTCTACAATCAAGACCATAATGATATGATGACAATATGACATGATAGTTGGTCCATACTCTATCTTCCTGACTAACTCTGTCAAAACCTCAGTTTCATGCTATCCTTTGACAGGCAGCTGGTGTGAAGCGTCTTCTCTTCTGTGGTGTGGGTTGTCAAGTGCAAGGTGTTTACCTTGCCCAAACATTCTTCTATTTCTAGTGGTGACAATGTGTTGTATCTCATAATTATCCAATGTGGCAACAGCTTTGAGATCAGTTGAGAAGTATCTTGGTTTGGAAAAGCTTTATGTGCTCGGGACAAACTGTGGTAACTACTAACTGATAACTGAATTAGTTGATCTTGAAATTTGTAATTACTGTGTTGCACGGAGGATATATTTGAACGTTGGCTTACAGTAAATATTCACAGTGGACAATGGTACCCGTGAAGGACTTGACAAGTTTTTGAAGGCTGCAAGCAGTGAACCAGAGACTGTACTGCATTATGAATTTATGCAGGACTACAAGGTAAAACTTTGGAATAATTAGTACTCTATTTTCTCTTATTTTTGACATACTGTTTAGAAGTCAACAGTTCAACAGGCAGTTTTAGGACATAGAGAAAAACTTATTGAATCAACAATATAACCATGTTGTTGCTTCCAAAATTTTGATTCATGACTGTTGTATAACTCAGCGTATTTGCAGGTTCACTTAAAGCACTTGGATGGACATATTGAAGAGGCAAAGCTTATTTTTCTTTTTTCTTTTCTTGTGCATCACTGATTCTTTTAAAATAATCATTTACATCACTGATTCTTCTAAAATAATCATTTACATCACTGATTCTTCTAAAATAATCATTTACTACCTTAAATCAGGTTCCCTATTTTTGCCTGCCAGCAAAGGACCTTGTTGATGTTATTGCCCCATCATGCTACAGGTAATATTTGCCCGTCATATAATTGTGTTGCCAGATTTTCTCCAGAATTTCCAGTCATCATTCACAACGAGCTTATGTTCTTACTACTACCATCCTGCAGCTGCTTTGACTACACAAATGGCTTGGCTGTAAGGTTTCCATCGTTTTAAAGTTGAATATTTGTACTCTTGCTATAGCAGATATTCATATTTTGGAAAGGAACCATCTGGTATCTGGCTGTATTATTCCTTCTGCTCATTGTCACTTCCTAGTACTTAGTTGTGCTCGTAGGGTTGGTGTTTATTTTCGTTGGTCTGATCAAATCTGAATGGCCATTATATGTCCCTTCTATACAGTTGCCCTTCCATTCTCGGTTTGCTCCCAGAGATAATTAATATACGTTTGATAAAGAAGTGCAGGATTTAGTGGTGGGCTATATGGGTGTACCAAAGTACCCTGGAGTTTCCATGACACAGCACCCTCAATACATTACAGTCAGGTAGAGTGATGGGGATGCTGGAGCATGGCAATTGATTGTAGCCAGTTTCTGTTGAGCAGCGAATTGATTTTTTTTTCGATCATAATGGTATTATGGCATTCCTTTAGGAATGATCGTGGAAGGGAGATGCTCAGCCTAGTAGAGGGCCTCCTGGAGAGTACACCTACAGTTAGCAGTGTATGCGTCGATTCACGAACTATCAGAGACTTCTTTTTTTCAATGTAACTTAGATGAAGACTATGCTAGTACATATATCTGAACATGAAGATTAATTGTGCCTTTCTCTTTAATTTTCAGGGCGTCAGGCAACCATTTGTTATCGAGACGGTTAAAGCTGATGATGAAGCAAAACAGGGTATGAAGTGAGCTATTAGATGTTTATTCCCGGGTTTTCTACATTTATGAGATTGAATTCTATACTAAGATACTCCTAAACAGTCACCTAAGCTTGAAAATTTTGCAGGGAGAGGACCTTCTCAGCCAGCTCCGACATTTGTCGGCAATGTTATAGCCTTCCTACTGAATCTGGTTAGTATTGCTCGACCATATTTCGCATACATAAGATGGATCGAACACATGTATATAGTAAAAATACTTCTTTTGGTTTGATTATTCAGATTGGGCCGAAGGGGCTAGAGTTTGCTCGCTACTCTCTGGATTATCACACGATAAGGAATTACCTCCATGTGAATCGGGCATGGGGCAAGCAAAGGTATATATATATTCTTGATTTTGTAGGTTTAATCTTGATGTGAATATACAATTAACCTGAGATGGTTTACTCAACTGGTTGTTGACATGAACACAGAGCGGAGCAGCACATTCCTTCCTATGCCAAGAAGATTGTGGAGGCGTACGACAAGGACGGACGCATCGAGTCGATGCTCCAGTAGCATGGGACGCTAGTCTGCATTCTAGATTATTATTATTTTTCCTCATATCGACTTGTTCATTCTAGTCAGTATATCCCGTAGTTATGTACATTCCTGAGCACACAGCCAGGGTTTAGGGGAATTTCCTCTTTACTAATTTTTTACATGTCTTATCTGACTGTCTTCCTGGGAGAATCTCCCGATAAAACAGTCGGGGGCTAGGGGAACTATACATATTACGTGTACATTGATCAAATATGAAATTTCTTGTATAGAATTGGAAAATGGTAAGTATTCTTGACCAGCCTTGCCTGACATGCTATATATAGTTCAAAAAATTAAAAATTATACTAGTCAGATGGGGTAATAGACAACAGATAACCTTATTCTAATGAGAGGAGAAAGTAAGGTTTTGACAAGACTAGCAGTTTTTACACACATTCATTTAAATATGTTTACATATTCATTTAAATCAGTTGCATACATTGATAATCGGCCTATTAAGTTGCTCGAGGTGATAAGAAATGGGTGCAATATATAGTTGTTTTTAGCACTAATAGATGATGAGCTTAATCCATGGTGTTTCCTCGGAGTCTCGGAGATGAGAGGGGTTGATATTCTGGTGCTTCTACTTTTTACTGGAGCTACATGGAAGGTTGATGACTAATTGACTATGCACTTTCAATTAGAGCTGTTATCCAGATGGACACGGTAGATCGCGCGCGCTAGCGACATGGACACGGCTAGATCGCGCGCTAGCGGCATATCGCTAACCAGCGACGCCCTTCTCTTTCAAAAACATTACTAGTACACTCAACAATACATGTCTTTTTTTTTTCTTCCTAGAGAATTTTCTCCTAAATTACTTATCCGATCTATAATCCGATTACATTGTTATGATCGTTGCAATTAAATCTTTACAACAAGATCTTACACGATTATATTCTGATAAAAAAATATCTATGTTGTAAATTACTTTTATTATATATGTAAGTTACTTTTGTCCTATACATAAATTACTTTTAGATTTAAGCTCTTTAATAACTTATATATTTTAAATCACGTATTATTTTCATGATCTATTTACATCATTGTAATCTACATAAAATATGAGACAAAACAAGATCCATGTTGAATATATTCAAACATTTCATTAATTTAAAAGTAATTTATTTAAATTGTAGTAGTAACTTAGCTATGCAATAGATGTAACTTAACTATGCAATAGAAGTAAGTTAGCACAAAATAGAAGTAAGTTGTTACAACATTATAAGTAAATTCGAGAGAAAAATATTTTGTATCTAAAAATTAAATTTAAAGTCCATAAATTATAGAATTGACTAAAAACTATAATAAACATAATCGACTTAAAACATTATGAATATATAAAAAGTAATTTATATATATGATAAAAGTAACTTAAGTATATGATAAAAGTAACTTAACTATATAATAAAAAGTAATTTACAAGTATAAATATTTTTTCATCGTAGTATAATCATGTAAGATCTAGTTTTGAAGATTTAATTGCAACGAACACAATGGTGTAATCGGATTATAGATCGGATAAGTAATTTAAGAGAAAACTTTGTAAGGGGAAAAAAAATACATGCATGTGTAATAGAAAAAAAAGGCATGCATGTGCGTTGGCTTCTCCACGGCTTCTATGGTTGGCGTCGCGCGATAAGACAATATCGGCTTCTATTGTTGGCGTCGCGCGATAAGACAATATCGAGATGCCTCACTGATTAGTTTTTGCGTATCTGGACGGTGACTTCAGCAACTCGAGCCGTCAATTCTCTGCTCTGTTACAAGTCAACTATTAGGAGCTACTACTCAAGTTGTTCTTTCATGCTACAAATTCATGCCAGTAAATTGAGAAATGTGTAGAACACCGGTGAAAGGTTCTGGGTATTGTATTTACCCCCAAAGATGTCAAAGAATTGTTGGTGCCATTGGGATCCAGGAGATTTTCCATCAGCTTGGGGACAAGCTGAATTTCAAATCAGAGTCGAGGATACCGCAATACTTTTAAATCATTTTCACTTGTATTTGAATGTATTTAGCAATTGGTTTGAATTTTCTACCAACAGAGTCGAGGATACCACAATAAGAATACAAAGATATCAAAAATTCATCTTCATATATTAGTCCATAGGTATGGGAACTGAAAGAAGATTTCAAACCAACCATTCAGCATCTGGGGACTGGGTCGAAACAGCCGAGGAACAAAAGTAAATGTAGTGCTAAATTTCAGCTTACAGCAACTATTACAGGTTTTGCAGAAGAACCATGTCAATTTGCATGCATCCTGATGTTATTACATAATCCAAATCTAAGGCACGTTCATTGATCAATACAGACAGAATCAAGCAGCTTGGCGGTTTCCTCGCTGACTTCCACATTTTCGATCTTAAGGCGGTGCCTCATCCCAGGGAGCTTCTTCCCAGCAGCTGCATACGTGCGAACCAGTGGTTCAAACACCACCGTGCCCAAATCCTTCTGTACCTTCTTTAATACCTCGACAAATTTCTCAGCTCCATCTACATCTTTGTTCTTCTCAAAGTAATCCATCAAGGTTTCAGTCACTTCATGTGGTGGCACCCAGATCCTACCAGCGCTGTGCCCTTTCTTGATTGCACGATCAGCGCACCAGTGAACCATCTTGAGATCCCCTTCCTTGAGATAATGTTCCATGAAAATTTCCCAGGTCTTAGCGTTAAGTCTTCCACCACGCATCTTGGCACGCTTCTTGACAGCAACAGCTTTGTCAAACATACCCTCTGTAATATATGCTTTGATCATGGCATTTGCAACCCGGATATCATATTTAGGATGCTTCAATTCCCCATCTGTGCCCTTGTCCTTGGTTGCCTTGACATCAGATTCATTAGATGACGTTTCAGCTGTCCCAGGGGCCTTTGTGTTAGTCTTAGGTGGATTGATGTACTGAGCTTCCCACTCTTTGAAACAGGCCTCAGCACCAGGCAGATCCTTCAAATTTGCCAAGGCTTGAATCATGTTAAGGTAACTCATGTTTGCCCTTCTTGGTTGATTCCGCTTCAATGATCGCCAAACACGATGAACTTCCACTAAATTTTGTGTTCTTGCATATAATGTAATGAGGAACTGGTATGCTTCAAGATCATTGCTAGTGTTCCACTTCTCCAGCTCCTTCAGGGCAGCTTCTGCTTTCTCAAACAGTCCAGCATCAACATATATAGAAGCCAGGTTACTGTAGGTTGTCCAATCAGGAGTAACACGACCATCCCGTTTCATCTCTTCAATCACCCTCTCAACCCCTTTTATGTCTACACGAGCTGCAAGCGCCCTCATCCAAACATTATAGGTATAAATATCAGGCAACACATCATCGGCTTTCATATCCTGGATGACACTAGGGACCTTCTCATGTTGGTTGACTTTCGTGTATAGTGTCATTAAGCTGTTATAGCACATGGCAGTGAAAGCAAAGTTGAGTTCCTTCATTTTTCCCATAAGGGCTTCAGCCTTCTCAGTCATTAAGTCTTTGCAGTAACAGTTAAGAAGAGCACCATATGTGAGATGAGTTTTGGAAGTTTCTGGGAGGTCCAGGAAGTACTTCTCAGCAGCAGCAATGCCTCTTGATTTGGCAACGAGATCAAGGCGGATTGCCTGGTCACTGACTGTAGGATTCATGCCTCTTCTTGCCATGACTTCAGAAAGCTACAGAAATATTTTTTTTAAAAAAAAGAAAATATATTTAGCATTAGCTTGGAGGTATAATTTCAAATCCAGAACCCACAAGCAGGTAAAAAAAAAATAGTGATTTTTCATATGGAATTAGCTCGGCATATATGCCCTGCTTGCTGCATTTGAAATTAACATACATCAGAATGAAAACACGCAATCTATATTTTCCGCATTTCAAAATAACATGAGTGGTTCAAACGCATACATATTAACATTAATAGTATCATTCATTTCAACTAGTATAATTTTACCGTATATGCTACACATTAATTACATTCGGTGCAATTTTGTATCAGTTATATACAAAAGGGTGGATAAGGGAATGCAATACAGCAATAATTCTATACAAAATTCATGGTCCAAAACATGAATGATACACTTCACACAGAAAGAAAGCATAGGAATCAATCCTAAAAAACAAAAACAATAGATGCAGTCAGTCAAACCAAAAATCCAAAAACAATTTCAGGTTAAAACATTTAGAAAATACAATCATTTACACTACAATGGTGCCAAACATATTCAGATGCTAAGAGTCACGGTGTTCCAAGTGCAAATTAGTGTGTGAACTTGTAAAAATAGAACTGCCAAAAGATTGCAAGGTTGAAGTTACCATTAGATACTGAACACAGCCGACACATTATTGTTATAGGATGGCTCAACGTGGATAAATAGTTGGGAATTTTAAATGACGTAGATTAACATAGGACACCGTGATATTCATTGAACTGAACATGGGAAATAGAACTTCTAGAAGAGATGAATATTAACTCATAAGAAAAGAGAGAAAATGAGTTTTCAGTATGCATTCTTGCTCTTTCCTAACAAAGCAGTACAAATAGGAAAGCATAAACAGGAAACTGATTCTGCTAGGAAGGCAAGAAACTGGCACTACAGGTGTCGAAAGAAACTAATTATCCCACTGTCCATATCCTTAGCAGCATGCAAATAATAATGAGACATCATTAGTTCTGTTCATTGTTACATAAGAACAAACAGATTGGTCTCCAGCCAGTTATACTGTTGAGATGCCCCCATTTCACTGTAAAACGGTACACCCCTGAAAGACAAAACTACAAGCAGACTGTATGATCTGATCGCGGCAATCTAGAAGTACTCGTAGTATTTCAGTAACCTATACTGAAACCTATGAAAAATTGAAGCGAATACGAACCCAAAGGTCAGCATATTAATATGGGTAGACAGTCGAGTTCTATTTCACAAAGGCTGAACTGCTGATGATCAACCAAACAACTCGGCTTAAAACATATATATGGGCCACCTAGGATACCATTTCACCCGTGTACAAAATACTTCGATTGTCATTCAGAACATTTGATAACATTAGCACATAATCAAATTAAGCATTTCACGTTTTCTTTCTCCCAAAATAAATTAAGTATTTCAGCATTTTGCTGAATGGAACTAACAATTCCACCTGACTAAACGCACCGATATATATTTGATCTCAAAGGGGGATAAATTTAATTTGCAGCAATAAAGAAACCCATCTTCACAAGATATACAAGATAGAGACACTATCGCATAAACATCTCAAACAGTTTCATACTTCCAGCATGGTCAGATCTAGCAACCACACACGAATGGCGAACAGATCGGGGTCTGACCTTGAGGGCGGGGCGGTAGAGGGCCTGCTTCCGGAGGCGGCGGACGCAGACGCCGACCTCCCACTTGAAGGCGCGCTTCCGGCTGTCGAGGAAGCCGTCCACCTCCTCCCGCACGGCCTGCGGCGTGGAGCCCCGGCGGAACAGCCGCCGGTACAGCGCCTCGTCGACGTACTTCTTGCTCGACCGCCGCGCCACGTCCTTCACCCGCGTCGCCATCTCGCCGCCGCCGCCGACTACTCCGCCGCCGCCGCCGCCGCCGCCGGGGTTTTGAGGGTTTTTGGGGCGGCGCTGTCGCGAGGAGAGGAGAGGAGAGGATGGGTGAGCTCGCGTTGCCTTACCACACTCGGCTTGTTGGGCCCTGGCCTTTACTGGGCCGCGGCCTACATACGTCTTGAAAGTGCGTACTGTTGTTGTAGATTGGAATAAGTTCACCGGTTGGTCCCTCAACTTAACGGCGAGAATTTTTTAGTCCCTTAACCACAAAACCAGAAATGTGTACCCCTAAACTCACTTAAACTGTTCAAAGGAGGTCCCATGGCAGTATCGACTCAATTTTTGTCTGGCTTTGCTGACATGGCATCCTAGTCAGCAAAAAATAAAAAAAATGTGAGACCCACAGGTAAGTGAGAAAAATGTGGGGACAACTTGTCAGCAATCTGTTTCTCTTTTCCTTTTTCTCTTCTACACGGCCGGAGGCAGGCAGAGCGGCGGCAGCGGCAACGGGATATATATAACTTTGTAGTGGATGAATTTTTCATTGAGGTTGTCGTTTGGATGTCAAAGATATGTTATAAGTTCAAATATATTTGGATAAGCGAATTTTTAAGATTTCTAAACGATCTCGGATGGTGATAAAATTTATATGAAAGTTTCCTTGTAGTATAAGTTTCAGTGAAGAGTAGTTTCAAAATAATAGTATTTGCTTTCGAGAAAAAGTGTTAGCTAGTTGAGATAGTAAGAATGATTTGTGGGAGGAGAGGTCTAAGTTTGAATCTTGCAGAAAGCATGCGCGCGAATATTGTATGAAAATTCTTTTAGTTGTGGGAGTTGAAGCGTGAATACTGTGTGAAAAATCTTTCAAGTTGTAACAATTGAAGGGAGGTTATGTATAGGCAGTGTTTAGTTCCCTTCAAAATTCCATCACATTAAATGTTTAGACACATACATAAAGCATTATATGTGGACAAAAAACCAATTGCACAGTTTGCATGTAAATTGCGAGACGATTCTTTTGAGCCTAATTACCAATTGCACAGTTTACATGTAAATTGCGAGACGATTCTTTTGAACCTAATTGCGCCATGATTTGACAATGTGATGCTACAGTAAACATTTGCTAATGATGGATTAATTAGGCTTAAAAATTTGTCTCGCAGTTTACAGGCGGAATCTGTAATTAGTCTACGTTTAATACTTCAAATATGTGTTCGTATACTTAAAAAATTTTGACACACGAACTAAAACGCGACATAGTTGCGTAGTAAAATATAAGATTATTTTTAGGTTTTTTGCCCCTAAAAAAAATTAAAAATAGGACCACCCTGTAGGTCCCATTTCTATATTAGAACCGGTACCAATGAGGGTGTTCTTCTATATTGGTGTCAATTAAAAAAAAAAGATCGACACTATTAAGGATTTAGAATCGGTGGTTTCGACAGTCTCATTTACAAGTATATACACCTATGTAGAACCAGCACCTAAGCAGACACCCACTATATAAATTGCATTGCAAACTTTTCGTAAATTCAAACAACCGTACCTTTTCGTAAACCCAAACAACCTTTTCGTAGGCGTCCTCGGATTGGCCCGGGTGAGCAGAGTAACCGAACATATGTAGCAACCCAGCATTGTCCGAACTCGTCGATGATCGAATTATAGGAGAATAATACCCTTTTTTATATATTCTTTTTTAGAAAGCAGCAAGGTCTGATAGGTAGGAGTAGGAAGCATTGGGAATTAGACTTGAAGCAGCAACGATTGGCTTCTCTACTGCTCGTGAATCTCCAGCCGATCTCCTGTGCTCAAGCAGGAACTTGTGAAGACAGGAGATCATTTTGGATGCAGTTAGTTGTTAGAGTCTGCATGGTGTAGGCGCAGCGAAGCAAGCGACAGAATTCGAATTATGAAATAGATCTTCAGAAGTCAATGTATCCCAAGATTATAGCAAATTTTGCTATAGAACACTTAGGCCTTGTTTAGTTCCAAACTTTTTCTTCAAATTCCAACTTTTCCATCACATCAAAACTTTCCTACACACATAAACTTTCAACTTTTCTGTCACATCGTTCCAATTTCAACCAAACTTTTAATTTTAGCGTGAACTAAACACACCCTAAAGTTTGTGTACTTGCTGTCGTACATATCTTAAAAATATGTTGTGGCTGAAAGGCGTCCTAAAAATTTGGTAGTTTGTTGCAGGACACTTTCGAGTAAATTAGAGAGATAAATTCTTCTAATAGATGAGAATGTCCCTAGGATCACATATTTCTAACATGATCTTAAAGTGAAAATTTGAAAATTATGCAACTCTAAATATGTGATCATCCCAAATTTATTGCTAGCATGAGCTTAGAAGCTTTTGGCCGTAGGGGCATTCTCGTCTATTTAAAAATTTTCACTCTTCGATAGGGTCGAAAGTGTTCTCCAATAAATTATGAAATTTTTAGGGTTTCATTCAGCCATAACATATTTTTACAATGTTCATCGGCAATTACACAATTTCTATAGCAAAATTTGTGTAATATTGTTATGCAAGAAATTGTGTCAAGATTGTTGATACGTAACCATCCGTTCAATGATTACTCCACACACATTCAGTGACTACCATATGGAACTTAGTAAGAAGAGACCCATATTTATCATGTGCTAGGATGTAATTAATCTTGTACCTATATATTAAACTGATTGAACGTGGGTAATTATCATTTCATTTTTTTCTCTCTGGCTAGTTGAGCCGGATATATGTTAAAACAATGGCAGTGGTGTGTTTTGGCAAATTACCGCAAAACCAAAGTGAACTGACAACAGGGGTGGTGAGTACATACTTGTTCATATCGTATACAAGAGAGATGCGAACCGAGTAAGGAGTGAGTTTTTCATCCATCAAAGATTTTCTCACACATGAGAAATGCTCAGGGATCTTCCGGCTAGCTTCACGAGGTGGTGGGCTAAACGACTTCTAATTATTTGATATTAGGTCATTCCCTAATATTCGCATCTTTAAGATTTTATCACGCATTGTATTTGTTATAAACTTTGTGAGTATTCCAGAGTCAGTCCAAGTACTAGAGCAGTAATATTGATATTTTAATTTCTAATATAAAGCATGAGGATCCATTTCATTATATTAGACATCTGGAGTTGAGAAGCAGAAATTTCAATTTATTTTGTACACACAAGATCTAATGAACCATGCTTTGTCAAAGGCAGTACAATACAAATTAGGCCCTCTTTATTTAGACTTATAAGCTAACTTATAAGACGAAAAGTCTAAGCCTAAACAAAAAAGCAGCTTTTTCATTTGAGTTTTTTAAAGCCATAAGCCACTCTAACACTATTAAGGCCCTCTTTGTTTAGGCTTATAAGCCAACTTATAAATCAAAGAGTCTAAGCCTAAACAAACAAGCAGCTTTTCCGTTTGGCTTTTTTGAAGCCACAAGCTACTCTAACACTATTAAGCCAAAAGCTAGATTGGAGAAGCTTTTTTGGCTTATGTGAGGTAGATGTATGACTCAACCACTAAACTTAAGACATTAAATCCATTGGCTTATAAATCATATAAGCCAATAAGCTGACTTAAAAGTCTAGGCCAATAAGCCTAAGCCTAAACAAAGAGGGCTAAGCCAAAAGCTAGGTTGGAGAAGCTTTATTGACTTAAATGAGGTAGATGTATGACTCCACCACCAAACTTAGGACATTAAATCCACCAACTTATAAATCATATAAGCCAATAAGTTGTCTTAAAAGTAAGCCAATAAGTCTAAGCCTAAACAAAGAGAGCCTTAAACAGTATCCAATAAGCTCAACTTTACTCCCGTATATATAGACATAGTCCGATCGCCAAAATGACAACCTGCATAGTTTATCTTGGTGTAAGTGGAGGTTCTCTATGCCAAAAGAAATATGCAAAGATAGCTCAAAGAGAACGCAACAAACTTTTTTTTAAGTACAGCAAACCATACCACCAAGAGTCAAATGTATCTCAGACACAACACCAAATCCACCAGAATAGTATGAGCATATAAAGGTTTGATCATCCTTCTACTATCATAAACCTATTATTCACTCTAGCAGCTCTGCTCCAGAAAATTAGGCAAGAATACCGGATTGTAAAAGCACAAGAATGAAAAAATAAAAAAGAATAGAATGTCATGTCGATTGTATTCTTCCTAGATTAGGAGTACAATAAAATTTTGAAACTGTTGTTTAGATGAGACACAGGAACAAGAAATTTTAAGACATGGGAATCAGAAAACATGAGGTGCGACATTGAGACCCCATGCTTGTTTCCTGCAGAAGTTCCTATATTAAAAAAATGCACATATACTTCGTATGAATTTCAGATGAATTGGTAGGGGCAACTCTTTGTTACAAAGGGTTTCATACAGAATTTTTTCCATATAAGATTGAATTCCTGAAACAATTTTACATTTCTCCTTTATCGAGAAAAAAACCTTCTTTGTCTATGATCTGAACTACTGCTTCAGTTACTTTTGCTCTCCAGCAGTTTGAGAGGCAAAGGTACTCAACAAGAATATACCAGTTTCGGGGAACTCTATAACAACCTCATCTTTTCGCTTATGTTTATACTTATCAGCAAAAATTTAAATTTTCAACTAAATTTGGAGTTGATTTTGGGGTTTTCTTATCAAGTTTATTTTCAGCCTTTGCTATTAGATCGCTAAGAATACGCATATAAAATTTTTATTTTTCGTTTACAAATATATCGAAATGATGGGGCCATAAATTATTACTTAGCTTTCCAAATGACCCTATTATAGCCAATTTCTAATGAACTCTTTTCTTTAAGAGACATTAACATTGTCTAGTGCAGTTCCGACCTCTGCTGCCAACAAAAGGTCCACATAACAGTTTTTTTTTTTAGAAAATAGGATAATCCCGACCTCTACATAGTCCATAACAGTATAACACACTCGCTGGTGTGTACCTTGAATAGTGTACAAAATAGTTGTTGAAAAGATGTACTTGTCTTAGAAATCACCAATGCAACACATATACTATTACCATCCTAAAACTTTAACATTTTTTTAGTTGCACATGTGGTAGCAGGCAAATTAAATCTTGATATGTACTCCATGTGAGCACATAACTGATCACCATCCAATGGCTG